AGATATATATATATATATATATATATATATATATATATTAGTTTAAAAAAAGCAATTGAGTGTTTAAACTTAGCAGCGAAAAAAGTCAATCCTCCAATAAAATATAGGCTAAATTTTAAATACTTCACAGATCAATATGAAATTATCGAAATGAATAAATTAAAAAGATATACTTCAAAATATCTTTTTAATTTACATTTGAAAAACTATTGGCAGTTGTACAGCGATAAAGATAATTCTTTCTTTTTTTAGGGACAAGCTGGGCCATAGTCGTCATCATAGAAAATACAGTAAAGCAATAAAACATATATAAAACATGCACAAAAATCAATTAAGACAAATAAAGAAGAAACAATATCATAAACCATAACCGGAACAAAAGAATTTATAATGTAAGAGAACCAAGGAAATCATAAAAGCTTAAGAAAAAAGCAGTTATATTCTAAAAAAACTTGTATAAATGAAGCATGAACTTGGACAAATTTTTACTTCAGAAAGAAGTGTGGCCTTGGTGGCTTCAGGTGTGCTTTAGGTATGCCCAGTGATTTTGAGAAAAAACAATGTGCTTGTGCGATTCATATAGCATCGCTCCAAGAGCATGACTTCATTGAACTTTTAACAAAACAACTTAAAAATGAATTCATAAAAAAAAAATTCTTCTAGGCTACATAAAATCAACTTATCATAAAGAACTAAATATAACATAACATGCATGCATGATAATAATCATCATAATCATTACTTCATACCAGCTATTTAGAGTTGGCTTAATTATGCCTCATTCCCCATTCATTCATGGATTCCCTGAAGTATTAACCCTACTCAATGCAAATCATTTTGAAGAAGTTCTATCCATGTTCTATTAGATTCCTTTTTAATACATACTCTTCTAATAAATACAGTTATACCCTTTACTGTACACGTCCAAATCATCAAAGTCAATTATCAATTATTTTATCTTCAATGAATGTTACTACAAAAAATCATCTAGTATAATTATTCACTAGTTTATCATTCCCAGTTTTCCAAGCACCACTTTTAACATTCTCAAATTTTTCATGCTCAATTTAAACATCAATAACTTTTTATTGTCACTACTTGGATCCAGACAATGTCGTGGACCTAATTGAGTCTTTAATAAAAATTACCTTTCAAATCTCTAAAACATTCTCTTATTGAACAGCACCTCACGCACTTCTCCATTTTAACTACTCAACCTTAACTCAAGAAGTTCTATCCAAATCATATTTTTATTTTTCTTATATAATAAATACAAGATACCTAAACTAATTATCACTTTATTTTCTAACAATATTGATTGATGATTGTTAATATCACAACTTCTAAATAACAAGTTGTGGGTTTTTTTTTCCTAATAATTATAAAAGTCCTCTATTTCTAAAGCTTTTCTCCATTATTCCAATTTTTAAACTTATGTCAGGTGTATTCCTCGCCAATTATAACTATATCTCCAAAAAACATACATTCTTTCTTAATGGCAATCCTTAATATAGTTCCATTATAATTGAAAAATTATGGGTCACTTAAAATATTACTCGATGCTCTGCATACATATCCTTCAATTGGAGATGCAGAAAAGTCTTGGCAAACTCCAGAGGGAATGCAAACAACAAAGAGAGGCAGATAGCTGGAGTATTGGCGTCGATAATTGCAGTTGCAACTCAAGAGGAATTAGTCATTAATTGCAAGCATATGGAAAGGTTGCAATGTAGAATGGAGGTCAGACTAAACAAGAAAGAAGGCCACAAATTCAAGGCTAATGGGTGAAAAATTTGCAGGCAAGAAAATTAGAGGCACAAGAATTCAAGGAATCCTTACGAAATACTTTTAATTGTAAAATTACTCTTTCTAAACATGTATAAGCAACTCTCTGTATAAATATCCTTCGAATGAATGATAAAGCAAGCAAGGCTTCGCCATTCTTCTTTTTGCTACATAATATTAGATAAACTATGATTCTAATTTCCATCCTATTTTTTAATTCTTATTTTATTCTCCCTTAAGGAAGAGACATTATGCTCACCCTTAAAGAAGAATTGGATCAAGTTTGCATCTAAAAATTAGGAAAAAACATTATGCTCACCCTTAAGGAAGCCTTTTAAGTTGTATGGAAGAGAGAAAAAACAAGAACCATAATGTCATAAGCTCCCATCTTGGAAGGGCATTTTTGAAAATCACATGAAGTTATGATGGAGAACCGATTGCAACAAACTCTTTTAAAAACAAATGTCAAAAATCCAACCGAAAGATAACCTATGTTGTAACTATTATTCCACGATCACCTCCATGATAAATCCCCTTCATATATACATTGCTCCTTAGAATGAAGTCATATGGTATCAGAGATCGATAAACCCTACATTTTAAGAATTTGTCTTTCTTGGCTCAAATCCAAAATTCAAAAAAAAAAAAAAACCTAACCTAATTCCCTTTAAAAAAATTGTCATACCCAAACCATTCTTATTGCAATATCTAGCCCTAATCCTAGATTTTTAAAATCTAACATCCCTACCTCTTCGAAAAATCCACCCCGACAACTAGCACCAGAACCTAGACCGATCAACCTTTGATTTGTAATCCTACATCTTTAAAAAACCTAATCGGGAGAAAAGGATGCCATACCGCAAAAAAAAAAAACCTTAGTGAGGTGTCCGAAAATACTATGAAGAATATACACTGAGAAATCCTCCAACTGCAATTGAGGTTTGCCGCCTTTAAGAGTAGACAACTCAGTAAGGTCACCTTAACCATAACGGCGACTCACCAGAACAAAGAGAAAACATGAATCCCTTTTATTAAATAATTTCTAGTGATAAAGAACCAAACACGATGATTTGGATATAATATCAGAAGAGATACCATGATTTTAGAATGAATATTGATTTATCGGATTTCAACTAGCACATGGATCGAGACGAGTTTATCAAATGGCTCCAAACAGTCGAACAATTTTTTAGTGCAAAGGCGTTCTCCAGGACAAAAAAGTTAAATTGGTAGTTATCGAGCTCATGAAGAATGCCTCATTGTGATGGGACAACCTCAAGCGTCTTTGCAAGCATAAGAGAAAATTAAAATCACAATGTGGTCTAGGATGAAGAGATAGATGCAGCGCAAATACCTTTCACAACATTACTAACAAGATATGTTCATAAAACTCCACTTGCGTGCGAGAGATTCTTCGGCAGACACAGCCGAATTCAATTAACATATGTTAAAATGTGAGTTGGTTGAAGCGAAGGAACACAAAATAGAGAGATACCTTCGAGAAGTGAGATCAACTATTAGTAATGTGATGTAGTTGTAGCCGTATTGGTCCCTGCTTGATATATCTACTCTAGCTTTGAAGATGAAAAAATAGTGTCAGCAGCTTACTGTCACACCTTCCAAGTATAGCTTAACTCCAGGAACTGACAGTAAAAATATACCTAGAGGAGAATCCAAGTCGATCCTGTCTGAAGAAAATCCAATTCAATTTAGAGAAAAGGTTGAGATAACCAACACTCTCAAATCCGTTCCAACAAGAAAGTGTCTCAAGTGTCACGGCTTTGAGCACATTGCGAATCTGATTGCCCAAACAGAAGGGTGATCTCCTTCATCGAGTAAGGAATAGTTAAAGAAATAGATTGTGACACAAGAGCGAATGAAGATATCAAATGCAATGAAGGAGACCACTTACATATAGGATGCAACTAGCCGAGCATGAAAAATTGCTATAACATGTTACACACTTGATAGATAGAAGCTTAGTTTGTGGAATACTAGCCCAAATATAGCTCCATCTTCGATTGTGCCAAAGAAGGATGACTTTTTATTCTATCAGGACAGATTTTGAAAAAAAATATGTGCAAAGTTGTCCAAGTCAAAGCAGTTCAATGATTTAGCTTGATGGTGGTAGATCAATTCCAAAAACAAATAGAGAGGAAAAAGCCTCTCCTAAATGAGAAGAATGAACCAGGACTTCCCGTCACAGTCCCGGGATCAGCGATATTGTAATCCCGTTTGCAGTAATTCCTACCGCAGAATTTGGGCTCCCACAATCGTGGGTTCAAGCAAGTGGAGGGAAACTCCGACTCCCAACTGTCAGCACATATAATTTTCTGATTTCTTTCTTATTTTGTTATTCTAATTAGGTATTATCGTGAGATTAATTTTATGTTTTCTTTACTATTTTGGGAAGACTTTAATATTGTTATTGTATTGGGAGACTTTAATCTCTAATTTTTGCTTTCTGAATGTTGTATTATTTTTCTTTTACAAGAGATGTGACAGTATTTTGCTTGGAATCAAGTGGTGAATCCTCCTCGACCTCTGTACCATGTCATTTCATTGTCCGCCTTGCTTGTTTCAGTCG